TCCCGCCGCTCCAAAGCCTCTGTGGGCGGGAGAGAGGGCGGTATGCGCACACACCGGCAATCTCTTGGCGTTGGGGGAAAAGAAACCGCCGAAGGGAGGCGTGTCGCAGCTGCTTCGACCAGAAAATTAGGTTCAAACCGGCGGACGTCACAGGCAGGTGCCCGTCCGGCCACTGTAACAAGCTCGTCGGCGGCGGCTGTGGCTGGGCGCGCCGAGGGTACCCGGACACGCACCTCGGTCAAACCTCCGGTTCCCGTGACTGTGAATACCGCTTCTTCTAGCTCCGGTGCGAGGCGTAACGCGGGGCGTGGCGTCAATGCTACTGCAGTGGACACTGCGGGCCCCTACGCCACCCTTCAGAAGCACAACTCGAGCAATTCTGCGAATAGCAGGGCAGAGGACACGCCCCCCCTGGCTTTGAATGGAAAACCAAGATACAGCGATGTAGCCCGGGAGGCAGGATGGGCAGACACGGAGCTTATTGAAAGCATCGAGCGGGAGATCGTGGAGCAGGGAGTGAATGTCTCCTGGGACTCTATCGCTGATTTACAAGAGGCGAAACAGCTTTTGCAAGAAGCAGTTGTATTGCCATTGTGGATGCCTGACTATTTCAAGGGCATTCGGCGGCCATGGAAGGGGGTCTTGTTGTTCGGGTATGTAGGCATGAGTGGGTGGGGCGGAAGCATCTCAGGTCCGGCTGGAGGACCTGAAAGCCAACAAATCGAAGCGCACAGAAAGTAGGAATCATGAACAGCCCTTCAACACATTTCGGCAGGGCGCTCACGAGTGTCTTCTCCCTTCGCCCTTTTCACACACAGGCCTCCAGGGACGGGGAAGACCATGCTGGCCAAGGCTGTTGCCACGGAGTGTGCCACCACGTTCTTCAATGTCTCGGCGTCCACTCTCGGCTCTAAGGTAGAGTTTATCACATAAGTTTTGTATAGTTTTAACCGTGTATCCCTCGCATGTTCTCGTTTCCGTCCCCCTTCATGCCCACAAGCTTCCGGACCATTTAGCTTGTGTTCTTGTTTCATTATGTCATCGTTTTTCGCGGCCACTCATTGCCTCCAAAACCTTTCCGCTACCTAATCAGTACCGAGGTGACAGCGAAAAAATGGTTCGAATCCTTTTTGAAATGGCGAGATACTACGCCCCATCCACGCTCTTCTTCGACGAGATCGATTCTATCGCCGGGTCGCGCGGGGGCAGCGGCGAGCACGAGGCGAGTCGGCGCGTCAAGACAGAACTCATGGTTCAGATGGATGGTGTAGCGGACGCCTCAGCCACGACCAGCGTGGATGATAACGAGGAGGGAGCGGTGGACGAGGAGGAGAGGCCTGGAAGCAAAACAGTCATCGTCCTGGCAGCCACCAACATGCCGTGGGATCTAGATGATGCTTTGCGACGGCGAATGGAGAAGAGAATCTATATTTCGCTGCCTACCGAAGAAGGACGGAAAGAATTATTCAGAATCAATATGAGGGATATTGAGGTGGGGGATGATTTGGATTTGGATACCCTAGCTCAGCAAACGGAAGGATACTCTGGTGCAGACATTGCGAACGTGTGTCGAGACGCCTCGATGATGAGTGTGCGGCGGGTGATGGAGGAAGCAAGGAAACAGGGACTACATGGCTTGGAGATTCAGAAGGCATTGATGGCAAACCGAGACAAACTCCAGGCGTCGATGGTCACGCAAGCTGATTTCTTGTTTGCGTTATCGAAAATCAGCAAGTCCGTGGGCTCAGGGGATTTGCAGCGGTACAACGACTGGATGCAGGAATTCGGCAGTGTGTAGGGAAGACCCCATGGAAGATGGGAAAGCTATAACCTCTGCGACTCACAATTCTCGTGAGACGTTGCTAAAGAAAAATAAACCCGAGGCTCTATAACAAAGGCGCTTTGGTTTTCCTTCATGTATCAGTATTCGTCCTTCTTCCTCAAGGAGGGTCAGGCACAAAACAGACCGGACTGCTAATGCCCTCTCCTCCCATTCGGACACAGGTTGATGCTGGAATGAAAAGTGTACTGGTCCATGGGCTTACTGGCGGCATCGCTTCAGGGAAGACCCACGCCTGCAGTGTCTTGAGAGGCCTTGGCGCAACGGTCCTAAATGCCGACCTATTGGCTCACGCGTGCTATGCCCCTCACACGCCCGCCAACCAGCAACTCCGTAAGGCCTTCGGACCCAGCATTTTTACCACCGATGGCCGCGTGGACAGGAAGAAACTCGGCAAGCTCGTGTTCCAGCGCGACCACAGGTCGCTCCAACAATTAAACAAGATCATGTTTCCTGCCACAGAGGCGCGGGCGAAGGAGGAGATTGCCCGCCTGACGACGGAGGGCCACGCGTGGGTGGTGGTGGAGGCGGCCGTCTTGGTCGAGGCAGGGTGGGACTTGTGGATGGATGAGGTCTGGACGATGCTGATCGACCCTAAGTTGGCGCAAGCACGATTAATGGACCGAGACGGGATGACCGCAGAGGAAGCGCAGAGGAGAATAGCGGCTCTTGCGAGCAATGAGGTGAGAAACAAGGCGGCGACGCTTGTGATCGACTCGAGCGGTAGCAAAGAGCAGACGGCAGCAAAGTTAAGGGTGGCAGCCAAAGACCTCAAACGTCGTGTGAAAGATGTGCATAATTTGGACTTACCACTGACAATCTGAGGAACGCAAATTATACAGTTTGGCGCGTTTCGAAGGTACTTTGTTACTTTTAGACATATCTCTAAATCACACGATCCTACACAAGCATGCGACGGAGCGAAACATTTAAGCGAATCTCCGCGTAGAGGGGCACATTACGGGCGTCATTATATCTGTCACCACATGCATGCACCGGCGACTGTCCGTAAGTCGACAGCTCCTCAATTAATATGTCATCCCATCCCTACTACTTCGTTGCTTCTGCTGCTCCCGCTCCTGCTGTTGCTGCACTTCCCACCTCCCATCGGGAGGTGATCTCTTTATCTTTGCATGATGCCCGTCGCCAACCCGCCGCGTCCAATACTGAGGCACCAGCCGCTTGCAGAAGGAGGAGGGGCAAGGGGGCTGGCCGACCTGGGACTTGTAGCGACGGAAGAGATGCCCGACGATGGCCGGCGCCACCCAGGCGTCGATGCTCGAGTACTTAATCTGCTCCGCCGACAGCTCCAGGTTTCCCCAATCGGAGCACTGCTGCGATTTGTCCATGTCCATCCTCAAAAATTCCTTGGCCAGCCACGCCATGCTGCGACGCTTGCACTGGACGAGCCCCAGGCCCTGGGTGACCTCTCTCAGGTCCACGTGCCCTCTCGTGTCCAGTGCGTAGTCCTTTAACAGCCGCTTGGCATCCCCACCGATATTACACCCAACCTTAATGATACGCTCGTCGGCCAAAAGTCGATGGAGCGACGCCGGCACCTTTCCCCGCATGTGTTGCAGTCGAACCAGAAAGATGTCCTCCTCCCAAGCCAGCTGTAGCAAAGCAACGGGGTTGCGCTCGAAGCGGAGGACCTCAGGCTGCCATTCTGCGTCCATACCCACAATTCCACCCCTTTGAGCCACACGGTCGTAAACTTGTGATAAGAGTACCTCCAACTTGTCCGATTCCAGGGGCAGGACGTGAACGCGCAATCGCTGCAGAGAAGGACCTCGACCGGAGTGTACCTCCACGGTAACATCGTGCCTATTTATGAAGGGAGATATGGAACTGATCGTTGCCACTGTTGGTGGGGTGCCGGTGCCGGATGAAACTGTGCTTTTGTCTGCCTCAAACGCCGCCATCACCGTTGAGCTCGTCGTCGTGCTTCGTCTCCTGAGACATGTCGAGCTGACAGCAGCATGAGGGACGACAGGTCTCAAGCAAACACGCGGGTATGACACCAAGGCTCGAAGTGACGACACAAATGCTGCCGAACCAGTCCATTGCCGACTTTGTGCAAGCACCCATCCAAGTAGAGGCGACACCCTTCTCATCCCGTCACCGACGTCCACAAGCTCCTAGCGTGGTGGGAAAACCGTGATGGGACCGGTCAAAAAGTCAGAGGCTCGAAAATAGCTAGCGGATTTCCCTAACACACGCAATGAGAAGAACCAAATGTGAGACAACCTAAAACCTCGACTCTGACGAGCTGGTCAAATGTGTGGCATAACCCCCCTGGAGTTTACATGGAAGATACTGCCCCCGGTTCTCGCCAGCGACAGGAACCCCCCCCCGCCTTGCGCCTTAGGGCTAGTTCTCACGGTGTAATCGACTGGGTTGCGATCCTCCCTTTGATAAGGCATCACATCCATTGTATCTTCTATATTACAGAGCAGATACGAGAGCGGACACACGTAGGGAGAAGGCCCCACCTGACACACGTAGCCGGCATCGATCATGGTGAGACGCCCCCCCGAACTAGTGGAGGGGGCACCGATCCCTTTTAATCCGTGATGTGCAATTTCTTACAGGCAGCCGACCGATTCAATATCAATCGGAGCTGGGAGCATCTTCAAAATAAATATGTCGGGACAGGTCATCCCGACCTGACCAAACAGTAAGTGCAGAGGACAACTTCTAGGCTTCGAATAGTGATGAAATACCCCATTCGGCATTTCACACTTGCGACAGAAACAATCTACGTATTTCACCAGAACGCCGTGTACATTCGATTTTTTTTTTTTGCGGTTTCGACTGTTACAGAAGGGATGATGCAAGCTGCATGTGCATGTCGTTGCATGTCTCATTCTGCTCACGTTCCTTTTCTCGACAGCGAATGGTTGACGAACCAGCATCGGGACACCTACGCTACTCATTTGGGTCATCACGACCAGCTTGCCTACATTGCAGTGGCGCAGAACGACGCGGTAGGTCGTGTGCGCTACCAGCTCCTCGAGAAAATGCTACAGCCCTGCGGTCCCCCCCCGGCAGCAAAAGATGATGAGGATGACTAGGAAGGGAGTGGGTTCTCGTGAAGGAGAACGTCTGGCGCGTGTAGAGTAAATTTAAAAGAAAGTAAAAAAATACACTACATTTCGACTTCCACTTTTCCAAGTCGCTGTTTCGTGCCAGGCCTCGATGAACACAGGAGTCTTGCTTGACGGCGAATGTTTTCTTCCCAGGCCTCCTCCCCCTGGCCATAATTTCCAATGATTACAAGCCCAAGTAACGCGCTTTAGATACACTGATCAAACGCCTCCCCCTCTTCCTGGAGAGCGCTTCCACACCCTCGTGCTTGCTTATCGCATGGAACAAGGCCCTGACCACCGAGTAGGGGTTCCTTCTTCCGATGCTCCTCGCCTCCCCGCACTCCACACCCATAATCCTCAGCATGTCGTTTATCATTCGCCCCTCCTTATGTGGTCGGTTGGGTTGACCCGCCTGGATATAGATGCGGCAATTGTTGTGCTTCCCGTACAGGTCGGTGGTGATGCACCGGTTGCGGTAGAGATCGATGTGGATGAGGTTTTTCTTGGCAGCCCTATAGGCCCGTATCTGCGCCTCCTCCAGGGTCGCGCCTTTCCCCACGCCCCAGCCTCCGCAGCCTTTCAGGTTGCCTACGAGCACCAGAGCGCGATAGGAGAGAATGTGCCCCCCCTTGATGATCTTCTGCGTCGTGTCTGTGTCCACCAGCATCTTCACCCACTTGCCCTCCGGATGGATGGCGAAGGGATTGACGTCTCTTCCCGCGTAACTTTCTTCCTCTTTCTCCTCCTCTTCTTCCTGGACATCTTTCCCGCTCCCCTTTGCCCCTGGCTCTGCCACCCCGAGCCCCCCAGGCTTCGACGCGGCGGCCTCGCCCCCCTCCATCCCCGCCTCCCCCCCCCCCTCCTCCCCGGGACCCCTCTCTTCCTTCCAGTGCCTGTCAAAGAGTGCGTCCAGCCCCATTCCCGTCTCGGTCGAGAGCGGGGAAGAGGCTGAGGGTGGCAACCTCGCCAGCTCCTCCTCCAAGCTCCCGGCCGGGTCGTCGAAGCTCATCCCCTCCCCCGCCGACGCCCATCGCGCCTGGTTCTCGACCTCATCCATGGGCGAGTCCCGCCCGTACAGGCGACCGATCGCCGCCACCAGCTGGTCGTAGGTCCTGAACCTGAGCACCGCCTCGCCTTTCGGGTTCCCCTTCCGACTCCGAGGGAAGTCCACCTGGAAGGGCTCGTAGCCGCCTCTCAGCACCTCGCGCAGGTCCTCCTCCCTCGTGTCCGCGGGCAGCCCCTTCACCCTCAGCCGGTACACGGCCCACGCCTTCCGGAGCTTCAGGTCCGGCAAGCCCGTCCCCGAGAGCTGCGAGAAGGCCAGGTCTGCCTCTTCCCGCGTGGTAAAGGAGAGACTTCCCGTCCGGTACCGGCCGCCCACGGGCAAGGACACCGCCACTTTGGAGGGGGTCGTCAGGTGAACCATCTCGCGCAGCTCCTCCTGCGTCACCTCCAGTGGCAGGTTTCTTACGTCCACCCGGAAGTCCTTCCACGCCGGCCGCACTTTCCTCCTCCCGCTCCCCGCGCCGGCCTCCAACACGCCCAGCCCTTCCTCCGCGCCTGTCTGACTCCCGAACCGGATCACCGCCGCTGCCCCCTCTTTAAGGAGCTCGGCGTCGAGGAGGGACGAGTCCTTCATCCTCTTCAAAGGGGCGAGCACTTGCTCAAGCTCGTCCGCGGTAACTTTCCCCTCCCCCGAAGCTGCCTCGATCAGCAGGGGGTAGACCTTCTCCCAGGCCCTTCGCACTTGCAGGACATTGTTGCGCACGCTCACGTCCTGCATCTCGCTCGCGCACTCCACCCCTGTATGCGCCGGGCAAAGCGCAGATAGGCCCCCCGAGTCCCGCCCTCATTCCCGTCCGCGGCCTCCGACGCCTCCACGGGCAGGACCTCCACGTCGTAGGGCATGTATTTCGAAAAGACCGCCATCACCTCCCCCTCGTTCGCGTCTCCCGGCAGCCCGTTCACGCGCACCGGGTATGTCTTCCAAGCCGCGTAGCTAAGGACGCCGCGGGCATCCTCCCCATCCCCTTCCCCCCGCCCCTCCTGCCCCGCTTCCTCCACCTCCACCATCCTTTCTCCTGCGTTGCCTTCCGCCTGTGCCTCCGCCTCGGTAGCGCCGGCCCCATTCTCCGCGCCCGCCCCTTGTCTCTTCTCCCCCGTGTTGCCTCGAGCCTTCGGCCCTACCGGCGCTAGCTGGAAAGAGCCTTGCAAGAGCCCCATGGACGAGTACTTGTCGGGGCATCGGAAGACAGCGTAGGTGTCGTAAGCGTCGATGGCCGTCTCTGTCAGAAGGCTTTTGGACTGACCCTTCGACTCGGAGGCCGGTTCACTTCCCCCCATCACACGTCTTTGTTTGGGGTCCGACGCCCCTGCCCGATCAATCTGCTTCTTCAGCTCCGATCCTGATACGCCCTCTGGCAAGCCCGAGATGAACACCGGGAAAGTCTCCTGCTCCTGGTGCACCGTGATGCGATCCCCCCAGCTCTCATCATGATGGAACGAGTGGGCAATTTCCCGGGCGTATTTAAGGCTCGGGACTTGAAATGTGGCGAGAACAAGCGGTGGTGGAGGCAGGGAGTTGCCCTTCTTCGCCTGATACTTGGCCCCCCCCCCGATGGCCCCGGGGGGGCGCATGACAATATTGTAGGGCTCGAAGGCGCCGAACAGGGTTACCACGTCCTTTGGCCGCAATGCCTGGGCTTTGGCTTCATCGAAATGGCCCTCCACGCGCAATGTGTACCCAAGGCTCGCTGCCTTTGGATGACTGCTCAGCCATCGCTGCTGTGGCGTCCGCCGACTGGCACGTGTTGCACTCTTTGTGTACATGTTCCACGTTTGACCCTGGAGCGCCTGATGATGATGGAGCCATGTGCTATATCTTGCTATACCAACTAGACTGCTGCTGCTACGCGCTCGCACCACCGCCATCATGCTGACGACACAAGCCAGCTCGATGGCCTGCCGCCAACCCTGTTGTTTTGAAAGGTTAGGGATGTTTGTGTCAAGATGTGAAAAACAAGAGCTGCGTTTCTACAGAGGAAACACTTGACCGGGATTAATGAAGCATGTACGAGACTAAAGATTGCAAAGGACATCGGGTGAGAGACTCGACTCGTGATGTTCAAGGCGGTGTCAAAAGATTTAAGCAGACGGCGTGGATAAGACAACGAGACAGCCGCGTGGCGAGCATGTGCAGACGAAAGGCGGCGATGATCTAAACCCAGCCGCAGGAAGACCCAGCACAGAGGGTCAAGCGCTGCTACGCACCGATCTGCCCACGGGCTGCGGGCAGGCGTAGAAGGGCAAAATCGCTTTTCTGGAGTCCCCGATTAAGGCGCAGAGTCGCCATCGCCGCGGTGCCCGCCAGGGATGATACCGATTTCAACTTGCCAGCGCCCGTGTCGAAATGCGTCCCAGGGGGCTCTACATCTCGATGATCGTCAAGGTAGTAAGGGACTGCATGGCTTTCAGCGTAATGAGGGCAAGGGGTTCGTGGTGCCATTTTTTCGACGGACGAAATGTTGGCTTTCTCCGCTTGAGGCTGGTGCCTGAAGTGATCCTAGTTCAGGTCTCCCAAGCCGAACGGGTGTTGATCGGCAACTTGTCTTCCTTCTTTGTAATTGGGCAGTCATAGACAAACAAACACACACATGGTTGTAGAAGCAGGAGAGCACGGGAACGCTTTTACAGGCGCACGTTGACTCTTGCAGCAGAGTGTCCGGCAGAACGTCTTGATGGGTATGCGCCTGTTGCGGCTCCCTGCTCTTACTCCTTGTGTGCAAGTTATCATGTCCAAAAGACAGACTGAGCATTCTCCCTGGAAGATCTAGCGTACAATGTTGAGTTCAAGCTGCGAGTTCTAACCCTTTTCCAAAATCTTGAAATTTTATGCATATACCCTGCAGAATCCTCCGTCTCTCGAAATGATGCGCGCCGTTGTTTTGCTGGGGCTGCTGTCCTCTGCCGCCGCTTTCATTCCTGCGACTTTCAACACAGGCAAGAGCTCATACGCCCGCAAAAACTTGGTGGTGGCCTCGGTTTCTGACTTGATCGGAGCGGACACGGAGACGGGCGGGATCTGGGATCCTCTGGGCCTGAGCCAGAACGAGGGTTCCCTCCGTAAGTACCGCGAGTGCGAGCTCAAGCACGGGCGTGTAGCCATGGCTGCCATGCTCGGTATCTTTGTCCAAGGTCTCTACCACCTTCCGGATCCCGTCTTTAGCAACCCTCGCCCTCTGGCTGCCTTGCAGCAGGTCTACGAGCAACGTCCCGAGGCCATTTGGCAGATCATCGTAGGACTGGGCGTGATCGAGTTCACGGGGGGCCGACAAAAGGAGGACCGTGCCCCTGGCGACTTGAACTTTGGTTCTTCTTTCATCCCCAAGAGCGAGAAGGAGTTCGAGGAATTGCAGCTGAAGGAGCTGAAAAACGGGCGCCTGGCGATGGTGGCCTCCATGGGCGCCCTGCTCCAGGAATACCTGACAGGCCAGGGGCCGGTGGAGCAAGTCTTGTAAGGAGGAGGCGGCGAGAGAGAAGGGGGGCCGAGAGTGACGTCAGGGATGACGGTTACGGGGGAAATGCCTGCAGGCAGTAGATCACAGGGCGATTTCTTCCTCAGGCGCTAACGCACTGCACCCCAACACAGGGCTGGCCACTTGAATCCCTTCGGTGACGGCCAAGGGTTCTTCTGTAAGTACCAACGGCTTGGGAGGGTTGATTGATAATGGAGGCACAGGGCCTGGTCGGTGGACAGGAGAGATGCCTAGATTCCGCAGGATCCTTGTGCGCTTGCGATTCATCTGTGTATCTCACACACCGCTTTCCTGACTACAGAAACCCAGCCGACTTCTTGGCACCGCAAACGGGAGGGCCCATGGCGAGAACAAGCTTGATTTTTCATTTCATCGGGCACACGGAGAACACTTCCGGCGTAGAATAGGCTGAGGAGTCAGTGGATGTAAGGATTATCACCATCATGAGCGTCCTGATTCATTGTGGGGAGGATAACTGATCGGATAAGAGATCGAAAAGGAAATCAATTAAGATGCCCGGAAATGACAGACATGTGAATTTTCGTGAGAGCTACCTCCGCTCCTCATCACTCGTGTAGTGTTATGCACTGCGTACAGCTCGCAGTGTCTTCCACCAGGTCGCACAAGATCAAATTTGTGTTAATAATGCTATTTACAATCAGTAGCTGGTACTTCTATATTAGGCACCCTCCCCTTCCTCCGTGCTTCCACCCTCCTCCTCCTCAGCCATCCGCTCCGCCTTCTTCCTCTCCATATTCATGGTGTTCCCGAAAATCTCAGGCACCTCTATCCTGAAGGTCTCCGCTGTCGTCGTCACCGGGTGCACGAAGCTCACGGCCATGGAGTAGAGGAACAAGCCACGCGTCCGCAAGGTATTAGACGGCCCGTACCTCAGATCGCCTAGGATTGGGGTGCCTAGGGCCTGGCAGTGCTGCCGCAATTGATGCTTTCGCCCTGTCTCAGGATTCAATTCTATGGACGTGAGCGCGTCAAAAGCGGGCGAGGGGACCGACGCCACCACCTTATACCTGGTGACCGCGTCCTTCCCCTCCACGGGCGCAAGGACCTGGCCGGCGGGTTCTGCCGGCCGCCCTATCACAACAGCGCGGTACGTCTTCTGGACGCGCCGCTCCAGAAAGGCGGTCACGAGCCCCTGCAAGGCGGGCTTGGTCTTGGCGACGAGGAGCAGGCCGCCCACGGGCGCGTCCAGGCGGTGGGCGTGCACGGGCTTGGGCAGAGCCCCGTCTTCAAGGCTGCGGCTTGTTGGCTGCAAAAACTTGCTGTATTCGTCCACCAACGAGTATGCTCCCGTTCC